GTGTGATCCCTTTCGGTTTTTTAATATCTAGTGGAATCTGCTCTGAAAGATTAGTCGCAGTTGCTGTTCTTCTAGCGACTTGCAATTCTAATTTCTTCAAAAGCCTCTTTATAGAAAATTAGGGTCTTTTGTACATGGAATTGGACTTATTTCTTTTTACTAATGAATGGGGATTGGGACTTAGCGTTAAGTATTCAAAATTTTTGAAGTCATCTTTGGTCATTTTAATCACCTAAGCACCTACGGAACTGATTAATTGCTGCCAATCCCAAGGCGTTGCGATCTGCATTGTTGGCTGTTTTTTACACATCTTTCATTTATAGCGTGTATTGGGTCAGCTTCTAAATGAGTGTGTCTTCTCAGTAAATATTTATGGTTAACTACTTTAACATTAGGGCAGATGTTCAAAAGCCTAAAGTAGCTCATCATTACCATGACGTTGCGGTTTTGACTAGGACAATTATCTGACCAAATAACCAATTCTTCCACATCAGTTTGTGATAGAACTGTCATAGCTCATTTAGGTAATCCGAGGCAATTTCATGACCACCGCTTTCAACTTCGAATTCATCCCAGATAAGGCAATACGATTTATTTTCTGTGGCGTCGTATATCGTGAAATTTATAGTCCATAATTTCAGCTTGTAGAAACTTTGGTTATTTGTGAAACAAGGCGTAGGGAAGCATTTCTGCAAAATCACACAATATAATTTTAGTTTTTCCAGCTGATTTTGATTTTGTAACGACTTTCTGCTGCTTGAAGATGCTGTTCCTAATTTCGCCTTAATATTATTGTTTCTTGCTCGGAACAGTCTTTTAATTGTAGCATAAACCGACCGCAAGTATTACTAGTATCCACGGAAACCGATTTAAATGCTAAATTAAAATAATTATTGAATTTTTTTTATACAGCCATAATTTAACAATTTCCTTCTTTGGAATGTGGTCTTCTTCACACTTTAAGGTATATCATTTGTACATTTTTTCACGGCTTAATTCTGGTCCTAGATATTTCTTGGTAGTTTTGGATCGAGAATAATGACTTTCGTAGCACGGAAACGACTTAATGTCTCTCGTACTCGATCCAAAACCGCTTCTGGTATTTTATTAATTGGTTTATGCCTTCCCCTGTGGTGTTCTTCCACAAAGCCTCCCATATTGTCGTTTTTTAGAAAATTACGCACAACTGTTTCTGAAATATTTAGTGTTTAAAAAAATGTTTACATACATCAAAAAGTAGCATGTTTAGTATTTTGCATGTTGATGTTTTCAAAAAAATGATAATACACTTACAAGTACTACAAAAAATACTACTTAAGGGAATGTGTACGAACTTTCGACATCAATGCCATTTAAAGTGGATTCATTTTTTTTCGAATCCTGAGAAAACTAGTAAGTATTTTCCAAAAATTTAAATGCAGAATGGAAGATTACGATATTACCTAAAGCCGAAAGTCCCTGAAAACTTCTATAATGTTTATTTAATAAGTTATAGGGTGAAAAACTAAGAGAAAATGTAGTGTGATTTTGAATTTCAAATATCTCATTCAAAACAAACTTTTTATTCATTCTAAGGAACTTTCAGCCCTCGGTAATAAAGCAATCTTTCATTTTGCGTTTAAATTTTTGAAAAATACTTATTAGTTTTCTTAGTATTCGAAAAAAATGATTACATTTGAAATACATAGAAAATTTTGACAGGCGTCAAAATTTTGCATTGTTGTTCCTTTCCCCTTAAAGGTTATCTTAATTTTGTATTATAGTGTATTTTTATGTATGAGAGAGTAATAAAACAATAAATTATGTATGCAAATCCCTAAACTGTTGATACGGGTGACCCAATGAAAAACAGATATTTGTCAACAAGTTTACAGAAGTATATAGGGAAACAATTTTAAATTGAGTATGACCACCAGGTATAAAGGTTGGAGCAGAATAGAGTACAATAGTTGTGAGGGTTACTAATCCCTAAATAAGGTTGCCAGTGTCGGAGTGATGGAGGTTAACAGGTACTAATGAATTTGCAAGAAATGTAAGATGTTTATTTTATTGGTTATATATAACCAATAAAAGTTTAATAAGTACCTACCTATTTGCAAAATAAAGTTTAATTCTTTAGATAAAATAAAACGTTTTATTTTATCTGAAATGAGTGCATTCCACGAAGTAAGGGTTTCAACAATCAAACATTTAATTCTTTAATTCCAGGAATCTACGACAGTAATTGACTAGATAATTACCTTCTACACTTATTCCACAGAAAATGTGATAGTGGGTTTTTCCATTTTGTAGGAAGGTCCAAGTGGCGTATTCAAAATTCTTAACAGTTCACTAAAAGTAGGTACTTCAGTTGCAAGGTGCAGTTTATTGTGTATACTAGTGTTATGGAAAATTTGGAAGTGCCGTGTAAACGCCGAAAAATTGGTCCTTTAACAGTTAATGAAAAAACATTAATATTTAATTGTTTTAAATCATTTACAGACAAACGTTTATGTGAAAGTGTTGATAAGACCTTTGAGTTAGTTAGCAGTACACTTGGTGTTGGGAAATCTACGATTTACAGAGTTATTAAAGAAGAGAAATGTGGTAGTTTTCAAATGCCACGTAATGCTCCAGGGAAACCAAAATTTCAAATAGAATATCATTTTAAAGAAGGACTTCGACGGAAAGTGCATGAATTCTTCTTTAGACAAGAATTTCCAACATTGGATAAAGTTCTTGTCTCAGTTCGAGATGATAAGGATTACCCAGAAATGAGTCGAAATACGTTATGGAAACTTTTAAAAGAAATAGGCTTTCGCTGGAAAAAGAATCCCAGAAAGTCTATTTTATTAGAAAGAAGCGATATTGTCATATGGAGAAGACATTTTCTAAGAACCATAAAGGAAATGAGAAACCAAAAAAGAAAAATATTTTATCTTGATGAAACATGGATCAACGAGGGTCATACACCAAATAAATTTTGACAGGATGAAACTGTTACAATTTAAAGGCACGCTTTTGTAAATAACTTATCTACTGGTTTAAACCCACCATCAGGAAAGGGACGCAGGCTGATAATAGTACACATTGGCAGTTCAGACGTTTTTGTTGAAGGTGGTTTATTAACTTTTGAATCAACTCGTACCGGTGACTACCATGAAGACATGAACGCTGATGTCTTTCAAGAATGGTTTAAACAAATGATAGATCTTCTTCCTAAGAACTGTGTAATAGTAATGGATAATGCAAGTTATCACTCCAGACTTATAGAAGGACTGCCCACAACCAAGTGGTTAAAAAAAGACTTGCAGAATTGGCTGAGTTCAAAAAAATATTACGTACCATCCCGGATCTATAAGAAAGGAACTTTATTTGTTGTGTGCCCTTCATAAAGAAAAATTTAAAAAATACGAAATTGATGAAGTTGCCAAAAATCGTGGAATGACAGTACTTAGATCCCCACCATATCATTGTGAATTAAACCGATTGAACTGGTATGGGCACAGATAAAGAGTGAAGTTTCAAGAAAAAATACCACTTTTAAAATTCATGATGTTAAACAGTTGTTTTTGGAGGCCGTAAATAATGTAAAACCTGAAAACTGGGAAAAGGCAGTAAATCACACTATTAAAGAAGAGGAAAAAATGTGGAAGCTGGACAATATTACTGATAAAATGATCGAGCCAGTTATTATAAATCTTGGTTCTGAAAGTTCATCTTCTGAATCTGATTTGGATTTGTAACAAGTAGCTGTAAGTTTTATATTAATATTTTTATTCATCTATTTAACATACCTTAGACGGTTTTAAAAACTCTTTTTCTCTTTTGTAATTTTTAAAAATTAAAAAAAAAATGTGAATTTTTTAAAACCCTTTTTAATGTAGGCCAGTCAGTTCTAATATAGTGTGTGATAAAAGAGGTCACTTTTGTTTACATACACATAACACTTTATAACACTGAAATAATTCATTTATTTTTTACAATTATTCAAAGTAATTTTTCAATTAATCTTGAGCACGCCCATGGAGTGGTCGAAGGTACCAGTTAAAATTATGCTAATTACTCTCTCGTTCATAAAAATAAACTATAGTATTAATACAATAGATTGTATTCAGTAGTTGAACTAAAAAATCTATGTTTTTTTTCATTGACCAATTTTAGCAATTCACTTGGTATTTCATCTGGACCACCAGCTTTATTATTTTTTATGGATTTTACTGCATGCATAACTTCTGAATCTGTTATTTCGGATCTCTCGTCTTTACTCTGATTATCTTCATATACATTTTCCTGTCTCTGGTCATTGAATTCCTCTATATTAAATTTTTCCATCTTCCTAATTTTTGTTCCGTCTTCACTAAAATGTTTCCTTGTTTGTCCAATAGTATGCTTGAGGTTTTTTGATTTACTACCCCAGCTAATTCTTTAACTTTCTTATGGAGATTAAAGTGCATCTGGTTGTTGTGAGTTTTCTGCGATTTGGTTCGATAATTGCATTTTTAAAGAATTGCCATTGTTGTTCTATATCACCATCAATTGATTCCGGCGTGGATTCTAGGTTAGGTTTACCGAGTATTACCGAGTTTAATTGTGCAGGATGAAATATATGTTAAAAAAATGAGTACCTAACATTGAAAATACTGTTTAGCTCTTAAATAAATAATAATCTTATAAAAAAACTATTAAGACATACTTTTTAAGAATTCTATGTATAAAATTATGATATGAAACCACTTTCTTATTTTCGTTAACATGGCAACATGTGGAAAATATTATTTTGAACTTAATTGTTACTTAATGCTATCAACAATAAATTCTCATTATTTTATGTTGTAATTTTAAAAAGGTTATTAATGTCAAAAAATAATAACACAGCAATTTAGAACAAACTGTATCAATCCGATGTGTTCCAGTAATAGTGAGATAAACAGATAAAAGAAAAGATAAGCGTTTATTACATGTACCACTCAGTTTTACTTTAAGTAATAATAAACATAAATATTATAAATTACAAATTCTCACACTTATTTAATATACGTGATATAAATGAATATCTGCCGCAGGTTTAGTCAGTATGTTAACAAAAACTTAGCGAAAATGAGGATTGTCCAGTTTAAACTTAACGATAACAAAGTTAGAATAGGTGTACTAAGTGGTGATAATGTGATTGATGTTAATGCTAGTGATACAACTATTCCGAATTCTTTAGTTGAATTCTTACAAGATGAAAATGCTTTGGATAAAATTAAAAGGTACGCTATGTGCACTGATCTTTTTTTTGAGTAATAAATTTTCATTTAAATCACTCTTGCAATATCAACAATGGTTTTCGCAAATATATTAACAAGGTCAAGGTGAATGTGATATGAATTTTATTTTATAGGTCAAGAAAAACGAAAAGAAAACTTTTAAAACAAAATATTTATGATTTTCAATTAATTGTCAAAATTTAACCAATCACAAACAAGCTAAAGGTGGTAAATCTCCCGGGCCTGATGAAGTTCCTATCGAATTACTTAAAATTGTGAATACTGAATCTATTGATCTTCTTTTGGATCTATTCAATACTATATATATATATTATATATATATATATATATATATATATATATATATATAAACAGGTATAATACCTAAAGAATGGCTCCCATCAACATTCATACTGCTTCACAAAAAAGCCAATGCAAAGGAGTGCAATGAACATCGCACCATAGCCTTAATGAGTCATGTCTTGAAATTTTTTTTTAAAGTAATTCACAATAGAATACATAAGAAATTAGATGAAGGCATAAGTAATACACAAATGGGATTTAGGAAAGAACTGGGAACACGAGATGCACTGTTTGCAGTTAGTGTTCTTTCGCAGAGATGCTTAGATATTATTCAGGAAGTATATGCCTATTTCATTGATTTTGAGAAGGCATTTGACAAAGTGCAGCATAATCGACTTAAAGAAATTTTATTAAATAAAAACATAGACAGTAGAATCATCTGTAACCTCTAGTAGAATCAAACAGTAAAAGTGAAAGTTGAAAACGAACTGACCAAGGATATTCAGATTCGCCGTGGGGTCCGCCAAGGGTGTATTTTATCACCTTTGTTATTCAATTTATACAGTGAAGCATCTCAGAATTAGCGTTTGCCGAGATCAGTGAGGGCCTTATAATAAACGGTGAGCACTTAATAACATAAGATATGCTGACGACACCGTCCTTCTGGCAGGAACACTAGAAGAACTGCAACACCTTGATGAACAACTAAATATATATTGCAACGATTATGGACTAAAAGTCAATTTGAAGAAAACCAAGTTCATGGTATTTACAAAAGCACAAAACATCAAAGTTAAGCTAGTACTAGATAATACAGAAATTGAACAAATATCTTCGTACAAATACCTTGGAGCATGGATCACAGAAGATACTGATCAGACAAAAGAAATAAGATGCCGCATTGAAATTGCGCGGTCAACTTTTAATAGAATGAGAAAACTTTTTTGTAATCGCGATATCACTATATCGCTCCGGATAAGAATGCTTCGATGTTATATTTTCTCTACTCTTTTTTCAAAAACATTTTAAACGTAAAAGACATTCTTTAGCTGGTGGAGAACCAAAGTTATAACAGTTTTAGTTTAAACTTTAATCTGAGATAAAAAATACGTGAACTCTAATTTTGCTTAAATTGTAAATTTTTAGAAAGTAACGAAAATTTAGATTTTAAAAATATAGAGGAGTTTATAATACTATCGATCATTGTCATATTGAAAAAAAGTTTAAACTAAGCAATTTTTGGACCTCTTCTTCTTAAGATGCCTTCTCTATTATTGAAGATTGGCTATAACTACAACAAATTGCTCTCTATCTTGAGCTGTTCTAAGTATCGAAAATGTGTCCATGCCTGTGCAGTCTCTTACATTATTCAACCAGAAGCATTTTCTTCTTCCTGGACCTCTTCTTCCTTCCACTTTCCCTTAGATTATAAGCCGTAGGAAGTTGTATTTTTCTGCTCTGTAAATATGCCTAGACTCTCTCTCCTCTCTCAGTACCCATTCTTCTTAGCACCTTGTTTTTGGTCACGTGCTCTGTCCAAGAGATCTTCAGCATCCTTCGAAAAACTCACATCTCAAAGGCTTCTATACGCCTCATACTTGTAATTTTGAGAGTCCATGTTTCCACTCCGTATAGCAATATGGAATAAATAAACGTTTTTACAAATTGGTATCGGATATCCAACGATAACGTAGAGTTTATTAGGAATTTTTCCCAGTTGTATATATTTTGTTAAATAATAGTATTAACGTCTGAAGATTTTCTTAATTGATAAGCTTTATCATCTTTACCACCAATACTACCACATCAATCTAACAATAATAAGAGAGTCAAAAGTCAACATCAGAGGAACAATAATAACAAAAAGTGTACAAATATTGGCATTTGCAGATGATGTTGATATCATAGCTAGAAGCGAAAGAGAGATAATAGAAGCATAGAGTGGCACAAAACAGTGGCCTAAACATTACTGAAATAAAAACCAAATACATGAAGGCCAGCAAATCGACAGGCCAAAGAAACCTAAAGAATCTGACAATAGAAGACTATAACAACAAAAGCGTGAAAAATTTGACATATCTAGGTTCACTAGTTACCGCAGATAACAATGTCAGTAAAGAAGTTAAGAGAAGAATACATATCGCTAATAAAACATATAATGGGCTAATTAAACATCTACGATCTAACAACATCACAAAAAAACCAAATGCAAAATATACAAAACCCTGATAAAACCGGTCCTTGTAGATGGCTCAGAGACATGGACACAGTCGAAAAGCGATGAGAACCTATTCGGTACGTTTGAACGAAAACTCCTTAGACACCTGCGCTGAAGGGATGTTGGAGACTGAAACACCAAAACATATAATGAGGCAAAAACCAGTAGGGAGAAAGTCAAAGGGAAGACCTAAACTTAGATACATGGAACAAGTGGAACAAGATCTGAAAACACTTAAGATTACCAAATGGAAAAACAAAGCAAGGAATAGAACAGAATGGCGGAAAACCCTAGAATAAGCCAGGACCCAGAAATAGTTATCGAGCTACTGATGATGATGATCAAGAGATATCTTGCAAGAGTAATTTTTTGACTGTAAAAGTAAGTTAAGCGTTTTTTGGGCACATTACACAATTTTTTTATTCTCTAACAATGGATATTCCACAGCGACCAGTGAATGGAAGTGATAAATTTTATTGATCTCTTGAGAATTCATTCCACATAAAAAGTGCTAATTAACATTATTTGTGTATAGAATTATCTCAGCTTTTTTGTTACACATTCTTGGTACAACTACGTTTTCTGTTTCCTCCTGCTGGTGGGGTTTTAGGAGAAGCTCAAGGATAGGAGTGACAAACTTTTTGCATTTTTTTTGAGATTGTGACAAAGGCTATAGCGGGATAAGATGGTCAAAAGTGCCCCGCACCGATCAGCTTGACTTATGCTTTTAATAAAGCATATAAAATATGACTTCATACAAAATTTTAGCTGTACGCAAGTTTGCTTTAAAAAATCTGAAAAAATTCATGAAGATGTATTTTTTAAATACAAAATAACCTGATTTTTTTCAAATTTTTATATTAAAAATTGAGGTCAGGGAAAATCATTGAAATTTTCAATAATTTTTTATGTTAATAATTTTTGGCTTCTCCTAAGTTGTCTGTTATGAGAACAATTTCACCGGCATATCTGAGATGATTGAATATCTTTCCATCGATGCTAATACCCTTTGATTCCCACTCTAGCCGTTTAAATGCGTACTCCATAACTGTTATAAATAGTTTTGGCGACAAGGTATCTCCCTGCCGCACCCCTTTGCCAATTCTTCCAAATCTTCTCAGTCATGCAATGGAGGTTAACGGTTGTTGTCGCATTTTCGTATATATTTCGAATAATATTTGTATACCTGTGATCTATTCTGCATTCTGATAGTGCTTTTAAGATAGCAACTGTTTCGACTGCGTCAAATGCTTTGTGGAAGTTGACAAAGATAAGAGAAAGGGGTCTAGTATATTCGATAGACTTTTCAACTAAAGTATTAAGGCATTGCAAATGGTCGTTTGTTCCGTGTCCCGCTCGAAATCCTGTCTGTTCTTCTGATTGATAGAAATTGAGTTTTGCTTCTAATCTGTTTGTCAGTATTCGAGTAAAGAGCTTGTATAGGTGGTTAAGCAAACTAATTGGCCTATAGTTTTCGAGATCTAATTTATCCCCTTTTTTGTGGAGGAGGATTGTACCCGAATTCTTCCATTTACTTGAAATGTTTTCACTATGCAGACATAGATTAAAAAGTGTTTGGATTCGGGACATCAAAAGTGGACCTCCTAGTTTAATTGTCTCAATGACTACACCATCTTCTGCCGGAGCATGTTGTGACTGGCTGTATGGCACTTGCATATGCCATTAAAAAAAATCTTCCCCCGGAGCTCTATTATTTTTCATATTTTTGAGGGCATGTTGAATTTCCTCTCGTGATATATCTGGTATATCCTCCGATCCTACATTATGTACCTTTTGTATTGGTTATTCGATGAGCTCTGGAATAATTGACTTTTATATAATGTTTTATATAAACTTTTTACTATATGTAATATGCTTGGTCTATCTGAGATAATATTTCCATTTTTGTCTTTAAGTTGGAAGAATTCATTTTTGCCATTTTCCATTTTTCTCCTCAATACTTTCATGCTTTTGTTGTCTTCTATATTTTTTTATAATTTTCTCGTTGTTGTATTTTCCAATATCCCGTCTGATGGCTTCTGAGTTTTGAGGTTATGTACAAATAAATGATTAAAAAAACAGTTTTTTTGATTAATCGATGCTTTCCGCTCAGAAATTCAAAATTCTGCCTTGGTCATTTAAAAGAAGGAAAAAAAACACATAAAAAATTTCTATTTAAAAGTTAGCCAAAAATTATAAACATAACCTAAAAAATTATTAAAAATTTCAATGATTTTTTATGAGCTTAATTTTCAATATAAAAATTTGAAAAAAAATCAGGCTATTTTGTATTTGAAAGATACCTTCATGAATTTTTTCAGATTTTTTAAAGCAAAATTGCGTCCAAAAAAAAAGTCGAAAAAAGATTTTTTTTTAGATTTAAGAAGTTCTATGGGTTCTGGGAAACTAAGAATTTGTATGAAGTCATGTTTTATATACTTTATTGAAAGAACAGGTCGCGGTGCTAATCGGTGCAGGGGCA